GGGGCACTGGGCACAGCAGTGGGGGGTCGATGCTGTGCTCGCTGGGGCAACCCGGTGTCTCTGGCCCTTGGGGACACAGGGAGCTTGGGGGCACTGGGCACAGCAGTGGGGGGTCGATGCTGTGCTCGCTGGGGCACCCTGGTGTCTCTGGCCCTTGGGGACATGGGGAGCTTGGGGGCACTGGGCACAGTGATGAGGGGTCTGTGCTGTGCTCGCTGGGGCACACTGGTGTCTCTGGCCCTTGGGAACATGGGGAGCTTGGGGGCACTGGGCACAGTGATGAGGAGTCGATGCTGTGCTCGCTGGGGCACCCCAGTGTCTCTGGCCCTTGGGTACTGGGTGGCACTGGGCACAGTGGTGGGGGACTTGACCTGAGCTCGATGCTGTGCTGGCCAGCACTTCTTCAGGGAACAGCCTTTGACTATCAGCTTCACACGGCCAGACAGAGGCCTGGGCATAGCTGCCTGTGGGGAGACAGCAGGGAGTGGGGACTTGGAGTGCCCAGGGTGTGCCTGCCCCCCAGCCCCCAGCCTACCTCCTTGTAGATGAGCTCAAAGGCTCCAATGGAGCAGGTGGGGTTGTCCTTGCGGTCGAGCACGAGGCGCAGCGTGTCCCGCTGGACGTTGGCACACAGCCGTCGGGTCACGGCCGACGAGGGGCTCATGGTGGGGCAGGAGTTGATCTCCAGCAGCCAGGGCTGGCAGTCCTCCCCGACGAGAAAGTCGGCCCCATAGAGCTCAAAGTTGCCCTTGCGGAAGCCCACCTGGTCCTGGGCGCTACGCAGGGCGTTAAGTATTGCTGCCTTCATGCCAGGCACTATCACCTGATGCCAAGCATCCGCCTGCCCCAGCCATGCCAGGTATGCCTGGAACTGCTTGCTGGACCAGACCCTGTCGGGGGGCACGCGGGGGTCCTGGTCCGGTGACGTCTTGTACCACTTCTGGACAGAAACATTGCAGAGGTGCCTGGCACTGGGGTGGGGAGAGGGGGGCTGAGATCAGTCTGAGGGGCTGGGATGTGGGGAGCCAGGGTGGGGGGCACTCACCGCTCCAGGCAGTGCAGGGAGAAGGGCCGGGAGCAGAAGCGCAGGTAGCAGTCTCCGTAGAACCAGACGGTCAGCGGCTTCCAGTCAGTCACCACAAACCACTGCCGGATGTCGAATTTGGTGCCAAAGATAGTCAGCAGCCGCTCTAGGTACTTCTGCACCACCCACTTGCCCTCTCGTACCGAGGGGGCTGTGCAGCCCCGTGCCAGCCGCAGCACCTCCTCCAACCGCGTTGCACAGACGATGCCTGGGGAACAAGGGCACAGTGATGGTGGGACCCCTCCTCTCTGGGGAGCCCGTGTTTGTCCCCCACTTTCCCCAGCCTTACCCCTGCCTTGTGAGTCGGCACCAGGCTTGAGGATCCAGACATTGAGCTTGCCCTCCATGCTGAACTGTGGCAGCTGCTCTGCCAAACGCCGCAGCAGGTCCCGGCACCGCTCCCTCTGTGCCCCACTCAGCACCAGCCCAGCTCCCTCACTGTGGGGTGACATGGGGAGCTCAGTACCAGCCCCACCAATGTCCCCTGCCCTCTGTCCCACTTGGCACTCACTGTGCCACGCAGTAGTAATCCTGCAGGAAGCGGTTCCAGTCAATGCATGTCCTGCAGGGGAATGGGGTGTCCCTGTCAATGTCCTGGTGCCTCAGAACGCCCAGGTGCTGCTCACAGACCTCCAGGGCCTCCTCCACCAGCTGGGGGTACAGGGGAGATCCTGGCCCTGCTGTGGATGGCATGGGGTGAGAGACAGGGCTGCTGTGCCAGCCTTGGAGCCAAAGCAGCACAAAGCCTCCCTCTGGGACCTGTGGCTTTGGTAGCATGGGGATAGGGGGCGGAGCACCCATAAGGAGGATTTATGGGAGGGAGTGGGGGACCCCAGGCCACCACCATGAGCAGAGACTCAGCCTCCACGCTCAGGCCCCGGACCTGTTCCTGCCATCATCCCCAGCTCCATGCACTCACCTGGCCTGTTGTCAGAGCTTTGGGGTTCCTCAGTCCTCATCAGCCTGTCCCCAACCTCTTCCAGGGCCAGCTTGAGTAGACTGCGAGCTGCTGTCAGGCGGAAATCATCTGCAAGAGGGAGGCATTGTCCCTAATCAGTCATGAACACGATGTGGGAAGAGTGGGAGCACAGGAGGGCAGCAGCTCACCGATGAAGGCTTCCCTCTCGTCCATGGTCCCCAGCCTATAGCACCGTGGGAAGAAGGTGTTGGGGTCTGCTTGCTCAATCCAGGGCAGATTTTGCAGACTGAGGCATAGCCCCTCCTGTTTAGAGAAGGTTGTCAATCCCTAGTGAACCCACCCCCCCACCTTGTGTCCCCCCTTTCCAAGGGCTCTGGGCTCCCACCTTGGTGGTGAAGGCGCCCACTCGGGCATAGTGGTTCACCACCTGGTCCTGGTCCAGCAGCTGAGGGTCAACAGCGCTGAGGTAGCTGGCCCAGATGAAGTTTGGCACTCGGTCCCGCACCAGGTAGGACTGTGAGGGAAGGGACCAGGGTGGGACACAGAGCCCCTGTCCCACCCTTATCCCCAAGGTGTGCCCCATGCCTGGGGGTCCCAGGGAAGGGCGGTGGGGGCTGTGGCAGAGCTCAGCCCTCTCAGCTAACCATGAGGTCATGGATGCCATTGGGGTCCTCATTGCACTGCTCTTCCTCCTCCTCCTCCTCAGTGGGTGGCCACGAGGAGTGCAGTGGCTCTGTGATCTCCAGGGCAAGCTGTGCCCCTCCACGTGGGTTCAGCACTGCCTCCCTCTGCTCAGCACCATCATCCCTTGCCTCTGCCTCCAGCTGCTGTTTCTGTTGGTCGCCACAATGCTGCTCCAGCTGTCTGCCCACACTGGGGGGCTTCCTCTCCACCCAGCCGCGGGCCCGCAGCAGCCTGCGGATGATGGGGTAGGGGCCCTGCACCGTAAAGATCTTCTTGTCCTGCACAGAGACCAGAGGGCTCAGCCTGCCCCAGTCCTGGTCCCTCCAGCTCAGCTCTTCTGAGCCAGACATGCAATAAAGGCAAGCACATGACATTTGGGGAGGGGTGAAATCAGGCCCCTCACCTTAATGGCTGTCTCCACACGCAGCTTGGCCTTCTTGAGCAGCTCAAGGTGAAGCCAGCGCTGGTGGCCATCCTGGTGGCCCGAGGTGGTGGCTGATGCCAGCCGGGTGAGCACAGCCCTGTCTGACCTCGTTGGCCCCGTGTCCCCAGCACGGGGTGGGGCAGAGCGAGGGAGAGGGTGCTGCCCCGCCTGCCTCTGCCTGGCTGAACCTGGTACCCCTGACATGGCATTGTCTGACATGCCAGGCTTTGCACCAGCACCCCGGGTGCCCTGCACAGCCCCAGGACATCCGGCTGTGCCCTTGTCCCCAGCCTTCTGGGCCCGGGGACTGCTGGGGTGTCCCCTGCTCCCACGCTGCCCCTGGCTGGGGGGCTGTGTGCCCGCAGTGCTGCTCTCGGTGCTACATTGTTCCATGGTAGCCTGAGGGTGTGAAGAGCTGTGGGTGGCTCTGCCCCCTCTGTGCCAAGCAGGTCATCCTAGTCCCCTGTCCCACTGGGAACTGGAGCAGGTGTCCAGTGCAGAACTGGCCCCTCAGCCCCAGCACCACTGTGATATTAAAATGCAGGCTGTGGCCCCCAACCCCCAGTATCACTGCGATGTCAGAGTGCAGGATGTGGCCCTCAGTTCCAGCGTGATGTCAAAGTGCAGGATGTGGCTCCCCCTACCCCCAGCAGTGCTGTAACGTCACAGCCCCAGCCCCCACAGTAGCTCTACTGCCCTCCAGGTGGGATAAACAGCCCCCTGTGCCCACAGCCTCCACCGCCCCCCCTCAGACTGCACATCCCCCCCCAAGCCCTTTTATGCCTCACACACAGAGGACCCCCTCAAGCCCCTTGGTGCCCCCAGGCCCCCTTCAAGTCCTTTCATACCCCCCATTGCCCCTATGGCCCGCCCCGACACCACCAACATCCATCTCACGGTTTCCCGTTGCCATGGTGCTGCACTCCTCCAGTATCATGCCCTTTCCCGTTCCATGATCTGAACCCCCTCCCCCCGGCCGCGGTTCCCCCCATGCCCCGGTGCGGCGAAGGAGGAATCGGAGGCGGTGGATACAGCAAACGAGACCGTTTAAAAAAACACGACGAGACAGGGGCAGCGCCGGGGCCGCGCTGCCGCGAGCGGGGGCTGCTCCCACCCGGCCGCCCCGCCCAGACAGGCAGGCGGGGCCCGGCCCGGCCCGGCCCGGCCGTTCTCGGGGAGCGGGAGCAGGCACAGGCATGGTGCCCGGCGGGCACAAGCATGGGGGAGCCACGGGGTCCTGCACCACGGCCTAAAACTGGAAAGGACAGAAGACACGCAGCTGTCAGTACCTGCCTGGGGCTCTCACCGCCCTCCTGGCAGCCGGGTGGTGCTCACAGACACCCACATGACTCAGCTTCTCCCACTGCCTCCCCCAGGCACTGCACATCCACCACAGTCCCCACCAACAGGGCCTGGGACCCCAGGGCTGCTGCTGCCCCTGAGTGCACTCTGCGGGTCTGGCACTTCATGAGCAAAGAGGGTACATGCACCCTTGGCAACCTCCCCTCCCTTTCCCAAAAGGGTCCTTGGGTAAAATGTCACCACTGTTCTCACTGAGGTGACAGGAGGGCTCTGGGCACAAGGGCCACACTGGCTTTGAGCGCCACACCCCACTCCCAAAAACAGGGACCCACCCCCTCCCATTCCAGAGCCTCACATTCTTAAGGAACTCCTCTGCCACGATGCGGGCCCTGGCATTGACAGAGAGCTTCATCTCGCTGATTTCCTTGTCAATCTCCTCCATGAAGTGGATGACAAAGTCCACCAACTTGTGCTTGTACATCTGCTCCGTGTGGAAGTTTGTGATCAAGAAGCTGATGTCGTAGCCCTGGGAAAGAGAGAAGTGCCCTGGGGATCAGCGCCCAAGTCACTGACACGCAAACTCACATCCCAGCTCTGCCCTGGACACCCTCCCAGCTCCAGGAACAGAGCTGGGGGCTACTCTGCCCCCTCCCTGCCCCCTCACCTCCACGGGCTTCCTGCGCAGGATGAAGAAGTTTTCAGCCCTCATCATCATGAAGCGCATGAATTTGTGGCACAAGATCTTCTCAATCTCATCAGCCTGGGGAAAAAAAAGGAAGTGAGGCTTCCCCCGAGGCAGGAGCTGCCAGCCCCTGCCCACGCCCCCTCACCTGCTTCACGGCGATGCTGACACGCACGGAGTTGATGGAGCCCTCGATGAGCACCTTCTCCTTCTCGTTCCTGCTGATGATCACCGGCTGCAACAGCAGCTCTTTGCTGCTCCTGCAGAGGAAGGGCAGGGGTGACTCAGAAGGCAGAGTTTACTGCTGAGGAACAGGGAAGCGGAGCTGCGGGGATCACAGAGATGGGGGGGATTGCAGCAGGATGCTTCCCGTTCCCCCGGGATGTCCCTCCCCAAGGCGGACCCTCGCTCGTCCCCAGGCTGGATCCCCTCCTCCTTCCCGCAGCTCCCCGGCTCCCTGCCGGCACCAGCGCTGTGCCCGAGGGCCGTGGGGTGCCCGGAGCCCGGCAGGGACCGGCCCGCGTTTCCCGGGGCGGGCAGCGGGGGCCCCGCAGGGCTCCCCCGGTACTCCCTCCCCGTACCTGACTTCCACCTCGGGCTTGTTGTGCCGCTCCACCACCTGCGAGGAGAAGTTCTCCAGGCACAGTGCGGCCTGCAGCGTGGCACGCACCGCGTTCAGGTACGGGCGCAGCGTGGCGGTCTGCGGGGACACGGCGGCGCCGTCAGACCGCGCACCGGGGACCGGCTGCTCCCGCGTCCCGCCTCCTGCGCCAGCCCCCGGCCCGCAGCCCCCGGGCCCCCATCACCCCCCGCTGGTGCCGATGCCAGCCCCGGTGCCGGTGCCGTCCCCTCGCCCATCCCGGTCCCCCCGCCCTACCATGGCGGTGGCGGCAGCGCTCCGGTCCCGGCAGGCGGAAGTAGCCGATCACCTCTTCCGGGATGCGCGGCACCTCCCACTGCGGCGGGAGGGAGGGGGGGGCGGGCAGAGAGCTCCCGCCCCGCGGCCCGGCCCCCCCCGCGGCGGGGGGTGGTGACACCCCTCCCAGTTTCCCCCCCGCGCCGCGCCACGCTTGGTACGCGCCTGTCAGCTCTTCCATATTAGGGCAGGGAGATGGAGGGCGCGTTGGGCCAATGAGCGTCGGCGCGGGGCGCGGCATGGCCAATGGGCGGCGAGGGGCGGGGCGGCCGCGGGGCCGGAAGGGGCGCGCGGCCCAGGTTGGGTCCCCCGTCCCGTCGCGTCCCCGCCGAGCCCCGTGAGCCCAACCCGGGATCTCACCCCGCGATCCCGCCCCGTGAGCCCAGCCCGGGATCTCACCCCGCGATCCCGCCCCGTGAGCCCAGCCCGCGATCCTGCCCCGGGACCCCGTCCCGGGTCGCCGCAGCGGCCCGGTGATTGCCCCAGGTTCCCCCGGTGATTCCCCACAGGTTCCCCCGGTGATCCTGCGCGCGGGTCCCTCGCAGCCCCGATGCCCTCCGGCCCCCTGTAGCCCCCTGCTCCGCTCCCCTCTCCCCCGGGTTCCCCTGTCCCCAGCGCCCCTCGGTGCCCCTGGAGCCCCCCAGTGCCCGGTGCCCGCCGCCATGAGCGAGCTGAAGGACTGCCCGCTGCAGTTCCACGACTTCAAGTCGGTGGACCACGTGAAGGTGTGCCCCCGGTACACGGCTGTGCAGGCCCGCTCGGAGGATGACGGCATCGGCATCGAGGAGCTGGACACGCTGCAGCTGGAGCTGGAGACGCTGCTCTCCTCCGCCAGCCGCCGCCTCCGCGTCCTGGAGGCTGAGACACAGGTGCTGGGACCGCGTAGGGTCAGAGACAGGCTCCCTGTCTCGCTCCTTCCCGCCTAGGGGCTACCCCCGGCCCGCCCCTGCGCAACCCCAGGCATGGGACCTGATGGGGCATCAACTCTCTTCCAGATCCTGACAGACTGGCAGGATAAGAAGGGTGACCGGCGATTCCTGAAGCTGAGCAAGGACCACGATGTGGGCACATCTGTCAAACATGGGAAGCCCAAGAAGCAGAAGCTGGAGGGCAAAGGGGGCCATGGGACTGGGCCTGGCCCTGGCCGGCCCAAGTCCAAGAACCTGCAGCCCAAGATCCAGGAATATGAGTTCCAGGATGATCCCATTGATGTGCCCCGCATTCCCAAAAATGATGCTCCAAACAGGTGTGTGGGTGTTGGGGGACATTGGGATTATCCATCTCCTTCCTTGAAGCATGCAGCACAAAGGCCGAGGGAAAAGGTACCCCGGGGAAGGGGGGCTTGTGTCAGCTCCCATGTGCTCCCTTGCAGCTCTCCCTCACAGTCCATCCGTCCCTGCAGGTTCTGGGCATCAGTGGAGCCATACTGTGCCGATCTCACTAATGAGGAGGTCAGAGTCCTGGAGGAGCTGCTCAAGCCGCCTGAGGATGAGGCTGAGCATTACAAGGTGAAAAGCTCCCGAGCCGATCCTGTGCCCTCTCTCCCCATCCCCTCCAGTACCTCACAGCAAGTGTTCCCACCTGGGATGCTGCCGTAGTGCTGGGGAGGTAGGAGGCAAGTCAGAGGCTCCAGGAGCTATGCTGAGCCCTGCTCTCACAGATCCCGCCACTGGGGAAGCATTATTCCCAGCGCTGGGCACAGGAGGACCTGCTGGAGGAGCAGAAGGATGGAGCCCGGGCAGCAGCTGCTGCTGACAAGAAGAAAGGTGTCCTGGGGCCACTGACTGAGCTGGACACCAAAGGTGCCCCCATCCCACCTCTGCCTTTGCCCAGAGGGGCTGGGAACATTTGTGCCCAGTGGAGCCAAGCCCCAGTCCCAGGAGCTGAGACTGCCCTGCCCGACTGCTCACCTCTGTTGGGTCACCTTTGAGGTTGTTTATCTCCCTCTCCCACTTCCTCCCAGATGTCGATGCCCTCTTGAAGAAGTCAGAGGCCCAGCACGAGCAGCCAGAGGATGGGTGTCCCTTCGGTCCTCTAACGCAGCGTCTCCTGCAGGCCCTTGTGGAGGTGAGAGGGCTCTGTGGGGCCATGGCCGTGGGGTAGCACCATCACAACCCAGCACTAACCCTTACCTTTCCCTCACGCTCTCTTTGCTAGGAAAACATCATCTCCCCCGTGGAGGACTCCCCCATCCCTGAGATCGCCGGCAAGGACTCAGGAGCCGACGGTGCCGGCACGTCTCCCCGCAGCCAGAACAAGCCCTTCAGGTGAGCGGCTGAGGCAGACCCAGAGGTTGGCACTGCCCGTGGTTGCTCTGAGCACAGCGTTGGCTCCCTGCCACCGTGAGTTGCGGGGAGCAAAGGGTGTGTGGTGGGCAGCGGCCGCTCTCCGCCCCGGCAGCGTCCCCCACACCAAGTCCCTAGAGGGGCGGATCAAGGAGGAGCTGGTGGCTCAGGGCCTGCTGGAGTCAGAGGACCGCCCAGCCGAGGACTCGGAGGATGAGGTGCTGGCGGAGCTGCGAAAGAGGCAGGCGGAGCTCAAGGCCCTCAGCGCTCACAACCGCACCAAGAAGCACGAGTTGCTGCGGTGAGAGCAAGCGGGCAGGGATGGGGGCAAGCGGGGCTGCCCGGCAGGGACTGACACCCCCTGTGTGCCCCCCAGGCTGGCCAAGGAGGAGCTGCACCGGCAGGAGCTGCGACAGCGTGTCCGTATGGCTGACAACGAGGTGATGGATGCCTTCCGCAAGATCATGGCTGCCCGGCAGAAGAAGCGCACGCCCACCAAGAAGGAGAAGGACCAGGCTTGGAAGACCCTGAAGGAGCGGGAGAGCATCCTCAAGCTGCTGGATGGGTAGCAGGGGCCAAGGACCGCCCTCTCTGTGTGGACCTCACCTGCAGGGTGCTGCCCTGCCTGTGCTCTGGCTGTACCACGCCAGTGCAGGATGGAGTGGGCGCAGCCTTCCGCATGCCCTGGGCCTACTCAGCCTCCTCACCTGTGAGACAGAGCCTGGCCTGCTGTCTCCTCCCCGAGTGGGGCTTTCTCTGATTCAGGCTTGGGACCCTGTGGAGTTGCAGGGATCTCTGTGGACAGCCTCCCCCAGCTGGTGGTTTCTGCTCCCACGTCACCCTGTGCTCCCCCTGTAACTCAGGTGACATCAGCCAGGTCACTGCAGGGGCCAGATGTGGTGGCTCCTGCAGTGTGGTTCCCACAGTCCCTTGTCCATCTGTCACTGGGAGTGGGGAGATCCCAACCCCCACGGGGGAGCTGGGGGGAAGGTGGGGAGGGAAAGGGGCTGGAGGGGTGGGGGGCCCGGTGAGTGGGTGGCCGAGCTCTCCATGTACCGGTGGCTACTATTGCCACAACCGCGGGCAATAAAGGCAGCCGTGTGCAGGTAATGGTGTGGTGACATCGGGGACCAACCCTGCCCCGGGGTGGGTGTGGGCGGGGGAGGGTCCTGCCGGTGCTGGGCTCAGTCGGGGGGAGTGGCGAGGCGTGGCAGGGTCGAGTCTGTCCTGCAACCCCACGCGTGTCTACCCAAGGCATCCATTCACTCGCATCCCCACAATAGGCTCGGGGGCCGGGGGGATGTCACCGCCCCGCGCGCGCCCCCTCCCCGCGCCCCCCTCGCCTGTCCACGCGCCCCCGCGGTCACGCGTGTCCCCCCCGCCCCCCCGCCGGCCGAACCGCCCCCTCCCATTGGCGGCGGCCGGGCGCGCGCCCGCCCCCCGCCGTGACGTCAGCGCTGTCCGGCGGCGCCGCGCCGGGAGGAGTCGCCGCTGCTCCGCCGCGGGCCCGGGGCCGGGGCCGTCGGTAAGGGCGGGGCGGGGCGGGGGCGGCGTGCCCGCGCGCGGACACCGTGCCCACGCGCGGCTCCGAGTGGCGGCGGCGGAGCTGCGCGTCACCACCCGTGCTGCGCAGCTCCGGCTCCCACGCGTGTCCCGCCCGGCGCGGCTGTGCCAGCTGGCAGGCGTAGGGAATGGCGGTGGAGACCCCCCCGCGCACCCACGCGCGTGTCTGGGACCCTCCCCCTGCCTGCCCGCCCCGAGCCCGCCCCGTGCACTCCCCATGGGTGGGCAACCAGAGGGTGGCTGCCTGTGTCCCCAGTGGGACATCCCGTGCCAAAACTCCTGCATGGCACAGCTTGTTCCCATGACCCCACGATGACAATCACATCCCCTTAGTACCCTGTCACCTCCTCCGTGTCCCCACACCAACCCAGCATGCTGACACCCTGTCCCCATCCTGTCCCCCACTCGTGTCACAGGTGGGAGTGGGTGGCCCCACAGGGCACCATGCCGCTGGGGCAGGATGGTCCCAGCTGGAAGAAGAGGACCGAGGATATTCGGCATATCTACGACTTCCGAGACGTCCTGGGCACGTGAGTCACAGGCTGGGGGACACACCGGTGACAGCACTCACCGTGATGGGTCTGGCCCTCCAGCTTTGCCAGACCTGCCAAGTGGAACTGGCTCAAACCCTGGCCCGAGGTGGGGCTGGCACATGCGGGGAGACACTGTGTGGCACAGGTGCCACCTCCCACTGGTGCTGGCTGGTTCCCCCTGCTGTGCCATGGGTGGCTATGCCATGCCCAAGCATGGTCCCCCAGCTGCCAGAGGGGTTCCCACTGGTGTCCACAGCACTGTAAGGCTCTTAGGCTGGATTAGCAGGTTAATTACGTCAAGGCTTAGGGCCTGTCGCAGCGTGAACATGCTACCTGTCACTTCCCCACTTGGGCACTGCCAACAGCTCTGCCTGGCTCCTAACAGGCACCTCAGCCCTTGGGTGACCCTGGGTGCTGCAGGATGGCATGGCATGGGGCCGCCAAAATCCACATGGGGGCTCAGCCCTAGCATGGCTCATCTCAGCAGCGCTGCGGCCTTATCCTGCCTGATAGGATGGTGCAGCCATACTGGGAGGGACAAGTGGAGCCAGGCGCTCTATTACTGGCAGAGTCCACGACCAGCCATCCCAGCGGACGGCTCCCACTCACTTTTCTCCTATAAATAGCTGGACTTTCTGCCTGTCACCATGACAATCGTGGCATGGTGGCACTGGCTGGCTCTTGCTGGCATCTCCCCTCTTCCCTGCTCATCCCTTAACCCCCCCCAGGGGGGCCTTCTCTGAGGTGGTCCTGGCGGAGGAAAAGGCGACACAGAAGCTGGTGGCCATCAAGTGCATCGCCAAGAAGGCGCTGGAGGGGAAGGAGACCAGCATTGAGAATGAGATCGCCGTCCTCCACAAGTAGGGGCTGTCCCAGCACCAGGGTGGGGGTCCTGCCCCATGGCACCGCCACAACCTGGCACACCTCCCCACTGCCAGCACCCATTGCCGCGTGCTATTGCCAGTGCCCAAAATAGCCGGCAGCGCGTGACGCCCTGCGGCGGGGAGCCTGGCTGCTCCCTGTCCTGTGGGGGCCGGGGTGGGGGCAGGCGGGAGCCCCCTCACGCCCCTGCACCTCCCCTTGCAGGATCAAGCACCCCAACATCGTGGCCTTGGATGACATCTACGAGAGTGGCACTCACCTCTACCTCATCATGCAGCTGTAAGTGTTGCTGGGAGGCTCCAGAGGGGTCTTGGATGGGGGGGAGGGGGACTGGGCTCATGGGTGCTGCCCATCCCTGCAGGGTCTCCGGGGGGGAACTCTTCGACCGCATTGTGGAGAAGGGCTTCTACACCGAGCGGGATGCCAGTGCCCTGATCCGGCAGATCCTCGATGCTGTCAAGTACCTGCACGACATGGGCATCGTCCACCGCGACCTGAAGGTGAGCAGTTGGGGTGGGGGGTACACACCCAGCACCCTCATGGTGGTGGCAGGAAGGGAGCCCAGTGTTGCACGTCCCTGAACCCCCCCTTCCTCGCAGCCCGAGAACCTGCTCTATTACAGCATGGACGAGGACTCCAAGATCATGATCAGCGACTTCGGGCTGTCGAAGATTGAGGGCTGTGGCAGCGTCATGTCCACGGCCTGTGGCACCCCTGGCTATGTGGGTGAGTGCCTGCTGTAGGCTGCCACCACCCTGGGTGTGGGGTTGGGGTATCCCCACAGGTTGGGGTCCCCCCTCACCCCTGCCATCCCCCTCAGCCCCTGAGGTGCTGGCACAGAAGCCTTACAGCAAGGCAGTTGATTGCTGGTCCATCGGGGTCATCGCCTACATTCTGTATGTATCCCCCTCCCATTCCTTCCTATCCTGGGGGTCTGGCCTCTCAGGGCTGCCTAGGGCCAGCATCCCCCTCCCCCCCTGCCCCCCCCAGGCTCTGTGGTTACCCCCCTTTCTATGATGAGAATGATGCCAAGCTCTTCGAGCAGATCCTTCGGGCTGAGTATGAGTTCGACTCACCTTACTGGGATGACATCTCAGACTCAGGTGAGCTGGGATCACCGGGGTGGTGAGGGCTGGGAGCCTGGCACAGTGTCACAGTACCCAATGGTATGGTGGGCATAGACACTCACAACTGCTCAATGCCCTGTCACAGCCAAGGACTTCATCCAACACCTGATGGAGAAGGACCCCAGCAAGCGCTTCACCTGCGAGCAAGCCCTGCAGCATCCCTGGTAAGGAGTGACCTGCCATGATCTATCCCTTCTCTGGCTCACCCCACAGCAGCCATGGGGTAGGAGGGGCCCAGCTGACCCCCATCTCGCTTCAGGATCGCTGGGGACACAGCCCTGGACAAGAACATCCACCAGTCAGTGAGTGAACAGATCAAGAAGAACTTCGCAAAGAGCAAGTGGAAGGTGAGTGGGGGGTGCTGGAGAGTGCTGGGGGACACAGAGGTTCCCCAGGCACCCCGTGTCAGGTGACAGACACTGTGGGGTTGGCAGCAAGCTTTCAACGCCACGGCAGTGGTGAGACACATGAGGAAGCTGCAGTTGGGAACCAGCCAGGACATCCCTGGACAGACAACTCCCACCAGCCCCGGCGAGCGGTTGCTGGGGGGGACCAGCAATGGTGAGCCCTGACCCCCCAGTTCCCATCCTGCACCCCCAGGGCTGCTGCCAGGATCTCACCGTGCTCCTCCCCACAGGGTCAGACTGTGGGCGTTCACCCACAAGCAGAGGTCAGCGCCTCTCTCCAGACTGAGCACAGCCCCACATAGCCACATCCGGGGGGCCCAGCTCTCCCATGGGCACCGTGTGGGGTGGGAGCCCTACAGTGCAGGAGTTGGGGGACAGTGTGGGGGCACCCTGCTGTGCTTGCCCTGGGTTTGTGGGGCTGCACTCACTGCAGGCTCACAGCAGAGCTCTGCATCGGGGCAGGGGCACCCCACGGAGCACCCCCAGCTTGGGGCTGTGTCCCGGGCCCCTTCCCGCATCTGTTCCCTCCCTCCGTCCACACCTGGCCTGGCACTGTCCCACACCCCCACCCCCAGCATGTTCAAGGAGAATTTTCCAAATGGATGTTTCTATTTTATTGCTTGTAATAAAGGCAAGAGGCCAAAGGTGCTTGGCTTAGCTCTGCCCTGGGGGAGCTGGACACAGCCCTGATTCCCCCCAGCCTCACTGCCCAGAGCAGCAGCTCCCTCCACACACACTGGGCAGGGGACAGGCACAGCCCACCGCCTTCCATCCCAGGCTGGCAGCAGGTGCAGTGTCCCACTCAAGCCACTGTTCCTCCTTGGGTGTCCCTAGGGGGGTCCATCCCCATGGCAGTCCTGGTTTCGGCTCTCCCAGGCCTGATCCCGGCTGCTGGCTGGCTCCTGGCCCTTGCGGAGGTCAGCACAGAACAGTACCTGGAGTGGACAGAGATGATGGGGTGGGCCTGGCCAGGATGGGGGCGAGGGCTGAGCCCCAAGCTGCCTGAGAGGGGTGTACTCACTGCTTGTGCCCAGCCGGCGCGGGGGCCCCACAGCCCCCGAAAGAAGTCACCTGCGGAGAGAGGGTGAGTACCAGCATGGGGGACACAGGCACCATCCCTGAGGTCCCATGTCAGGGCCCGGCCCTGCCCTCACCAATCTCCTGGTAGGCCCGGGGGGTCAGGCTCTTGCCGCCTACTGCCACACCGTAGCGCTGCCGTGCGATGTGCCAGACATGGGTGTCCACTGGCACTGCCTCGGCCTTGTCCAGGGACAACAGGCAGACGCAGTCAGCCACCTGCCACCAGCAGCACTGTCAGGCCCTGATGCTGGACCCCACTCCACATCCTACCCCCACCCTGGCACCCACCTTAGCACCTACACCAGGCAGGGCACACAGCACCTTCCTAGCCTCGGCGTAGGGCACAGTGCGGAGCTGGCACAGTCCTTCAGCGCCGAGCCCCTCGGTGATGGCCCGCGCACTTCCACTGACAAACTTGGCCCGGTACCCAAAGCCCAGTGCCCGCAGCCGGGCCTCAGCATCAGCGCCTGCATGGACACAGCACAGGGATGTGGGTGGGCACAGGCGAGGCCATAGTAGGGTGGCAGTGGTGGGACGACAGTGGACCTGTGAGCGCCGAGAGGGACGGGAAGGCGTGGAACGGCCGGGCGTCGATACAGCAGAGGCGGCGGCCGAAGGCCTGACAGAGGCGTTCAATCATGGCAGTGATTCGGGAGATGTGGTTGTTGGAGGTGCAGATGAAGGAGAAGAGGCACTCGATGGGGTCCTGCCGCAGTACCCGCACCCCTGCAGGCGGGACACAGTGAGGGGACGCTGTGCGGCTGCTGTGGCTGTCTCTTGGGGCCCCATGGAGCCGCCTCACCTGGGAAGTCCTTGGCCACCTTGCGGAAGAGGGGGTCGGCCGCCTCCCACTCGCGATACAGGGCCGACAGACCCACGTCCAGCTGGAAGTAGTCACGCAGGATCCGGTCTGTCTCTGCACCATCCAGTTTGGCTGCTTTGGCAGGGCACCCATCCCGTTCCTCCTTCTGCTCATCCTCTTCGCCGTACACCGTGTACCAGAGCCGGTCCCGGTCCTGCCGCAGTGTCCAGACGCGCCCCCCCAGCACGCCCGTCCAGGCCCCTGGGCTGCTCTCCCACCACCTGCCGCACACGGGCAGGTCGGGGCGGGCCCGAGCGCGCAGGGCCGGGCCGGGGGGCGCCGGGACCCCCGCGCTGGCTCACCGGAAGCTCTGCCCCGAGGACAGCACCAGGTCCAGGCGCAGCTCGGCCGGCGGGCACGGCAGGCAGCGCCACAGCGACGGGCATGCGGACGGGGCGTCTCGCAGCTTCATGGGGGCCGGGTGCGCGCCCCCACCCGCGGGGGCGGGTGAGGTCGGGCACGGCCCGGCGCTGAGCCCACGGCCGCCCCACCGCCCCGGCCCCGCACCTCCTCACCGCCACCCGCTCCGTGCCCCCGGTCCCGCACCGGCCCCTCCGCTCCCCACCACAGATAAACCCGGCACGGGCGGGGCTCCCAAAACTCCCCGCCCCGGTTTCCGCCCGCCGACGGAAGCGCGGCCGGCGGTGCCACACGTGTTCGGCCTGCTCCCAATCCCGCCCCGCCCGCAGCGGCCGCGGCTCCGCAGCGGAGTTTATTTTCTAAGAATCAATAGATTTTTTTTCTTCCTTCAAAATAAATACAAACAACGTCCAAGCGCGGGGCCGGCCGGGGGGGCTGGGCCCAGGGGTTGGGGGCAGCACGGGGGGTGGGGGGCGCGGGGGGCCGCCCTGGGGCACGGCGGCGGCCAGAACAGCATCCCGAGGAGCGGCGGGCTGGAGGGAGCGGGCACCGGGAATAGGAGAGTGGGGGGGGCACGGGGGGGCCGGCCCCACCCCTCCCGGTCCCCCGTCCCCTGGTGGTGCAGGCCAGCTGCACGGGGGTCCCCGAGCCCCGTTTGCCCTGAGATTCGGCGGGGGAGCGGCCGGCAGGGCCGGCTCAGTCGCTCTCGCTGGAGTCACTGCTCTGCTCGCCCTGCACCTTGTTGCGGTGCTGCATGGCGCGGTGGTAGGCGATCTGCACCGACTTGCGGATGTTGGACTTGCGGCCCTCCAGCATCTTCTCCTTGTCCAGGTCCTGGTTCACCCCCAGAGGCACCAGCTTCGTCCGGGGCAACCACTGCCTGCGGGGAGCAGGGGGCCACCTCGTTTGAGGGTTACAATCGTCTCTGGACACCCCCCCCAAAGCCCCCGGCGCCCCGGCCTTACCAAGTGCGCTTGTTGTCGAAGAAGAGGACAAGGTAGAGGTGCTCGCGTGCTTCCTGAGTCATCTGCTCCCCCAGCTTCAGCACCTCCAAGGGGGGCACAGGGATGGGGACGCCATGGTGGAACATGCCTTCCCGCGGCATCTTGGGATCAATAATCTGCCAAAAGAGCAGTAGAGGGCTGAGAGGGGAACAGGGACCCCAAGAGCCAGTCTGAAGGAAAGGCCGATGACAGGCAGTACTCACCAGTGCCGGGTAGGAGGGGTACCCCCGGCACTTGGCCCACACTAGATCCAGGGCGTCCAGGGAGGAATCTTCATCCTCAGAGAGCCACCCTGCACCGCGTGCCATGCCCTTGCGCACCACTGTGCCAGAGGGGAGGGGAGAGAGAGGTCAGCTGCATTCCCCCCAGGTGACAGTGCCAGCCGGGTGTGTGGCTGCACAGCCACAGTACTTACTGCCATGCCCCACGCCTCGTCCAGTGCCCACAGAGTAAGACTCATTCTCCGTCCCTGACGTGTCCTCACTGCTGTCTTCCGGGAAGTTCACTCGGGAGAAGGAAGGTTTCCCTCTGCCCTGCTTGGAGGGCGTTGTGCTGCAGAGACAGGGAGCAGAGCCATCAGTAGGAGTCATGTTAAGCTTTCAGAAGTTGCTTTTGAGAGGGACAGCCTGGCAGGACACGAGGGCTTGTGGGCTCCAGCCACTGGCCTTGGCACTGGGAAGGACATGGCAAGGGTGCAAGGCAGAAAGGTGGGATGGTGTTTCTGCCAGGGTGCCAGCCAGACCCTCACCCAGTTTCACACAGGAGGACCCAGAAGATGTGCACTGATCAGAATTAGAGGCACAGGCAGGAACCTGATGGTGCTGTCAGTGACAGAGCAGCTGCTGTGCCAAAAGGGAATTCCCCAGTTCATACTCTTTGCTAGTGCTTTGGTGCACACTCACACCTCTTGGTTTTACATTAAAAAAGGCACAAACCCTGCAGATTTCTAGGGATTAGCTGGGAGCAGCAGGAGGGTGAAAGAGACAGGGACCATGAAACGGGCTCCTCGTCTGGCAACTCAAGGCCAAGAGCTGCCCACTGACACCCCAAGCAGCATCACTGTCTCCAGAGCTGGGCCAGGGACAGTACCTGGTGCGGTCTGAGGCAGCGCTGCTGCTGCTGCTGCTGCTGGACTCTGAGTCGGAGCTACTCCGGGGAAGATTGCAGTCGTTGCGGTACACCAGGAAGCTCTTCTTCACAGGCTGATTCCCACTGCTGAAACCGTTGGCTGGCAAGTCTGCAAAACACCCCATGAGAAGAGTGTTACCACTGCGCCAGCCCCTGCCACACGCTGCCAGCGGGGCCACGGCTGCCCGGCTGCACCCACCCATGGGAGCGTCCTCCGTGGACTTGTCACTGTCACTGTCCGAGCTGGAGCTGGGCCGCGGGCTCCGCCCTCGCTTCCTCTGCCGCTGGGAGGACCCCATTATTGGAAGCTGGGGGGGCCCAATGGGGCTGTTCCCATGCCCAGGAGTGATCTGGCTGTCTCGATTCTTTGGAGGGCGTCCCGGACGTTTTGGGGGCCCTGCAGTTTTAGGGTTCTTCTTGGAAAAGAGCACTGAGGTCCTCCTGCCAACTTCATGTGCCGGGGTGGAAGAAGAATTGGGACCCAGACCTAGAGAAGGGAGAAGGTGTCAGCTGCAGCCCTGCTGGCAGGAACTGCGTGGCAGTGGTGTCAAGAAACAGCTTCATTTCTTGGGAACATTATCATGGAAGATCCTTCATCCCGAGTCTTGTCATGCCTGCAGCTTCAGGGTCAAACTTTCCAGTCTGCTGACAGTAAAAGCTAGATAGGGACATCAATGAAGGGCCTGAAAGACAAAGGCCCCTGCTTGCAGAAGAGCTTGCTTTTCCTGGTGATTAGTGGACAGGACTGGGATGCAGAGGTGGCAAACCCCCAGTGACACCTGGCAGCTCTGCCTGGAGCTTTTGCTGTGTCCCCACAGACCCCAGCTCAGCATCTCTGTCCAGGGAGCCGGTAGCTGGCCTGTGTTTGAAACACAGCCCGAGAGAGCATTTGAAGCTCAGCAGTCAGTACCATTGCAACTCCCTCCCATGTTTCCAGGCAGGAAGGGACACTGAAGGCAGCCTGCTCCATAATGCCCCTAGGGAACACCACAGCATGTCTGAGCTGGCAGGGCCTGGCAGGAGGAAACAATCCATCTCATGCCCCACATCATACAGCTGGAACTCTCAGTCTCTGGAACAACATCCTGTTCCTTGATTGACCAGGAGACAAGCTCACCAGGTGAGCATACTGACTGTGCTGTAAACACCAGCAATCTGCCAACCATCCCCAGGGGCAAACACACACTAGGCTGCAGCTGTTCCAGACATTGGACAGGGTCTCTTTCAGCTGCCAATACCCTCTGCTTGGCTGGCACGGCTCAAGACAAACTACTCAGAGGGTGGCGTCCTCAGAGGGGCACACTGGGAGGGTGCCCACCTCCTACAGGAGGGAGCCTAGGGAGGCACAGACATCATACTCTGTACCCACCCCTTTGGGAGAGGCTACAGGAAATGAGGAATCCCTGCAGAGGAATGGGGGATAAGGGCCTATCCCACAAGAGGCCACCTGCCTCAACACAGAGGAGTGAAGAGCGAGGTGTGTGTGGGGATCTGACCATACAGCCCTTCAGCCTCAGGACACACCTGGCAGGGCAGCCGCTGCCCAGCCGAGCCAGTCCAGAGGCAGCTCTCCACCGCTCCCCCAAACCTGAATGCTCAGGAAGGAGCATTACCTTTGCCAGTCTCCTGGCTGCTGCTCTCCTCTGCAGCGCTGTCTGTCTGCAGGTCCTTCTCACAGGGGTTGTGGGACTGCATGACTCCCCTGGCAGAGGAGCTGTGCCGCTCCAGCCCGTCCCGGCCCAGGTCCCGTGGGTGCGCGAGCTTCCGCCGGAGAACCGTGATCTCCTTCTTGATCATCTTGGCCCGGCGGGACCGCCCTATGCTCTGCTTGCCCGCGTTGACCTCATCCAGCCGCTCCAGCAGGATCTTCAGCTGCTCCTCCAAAGGCAGGTGCTTCTGATTCTCCGAGAGCAGCAGCCGCACATCTTCTGGGGGAACAAAGAGGAGCAGATGGATGAAAGAAATAGGAAACTCATGGAAGCTCCTCTACATGAAAGGGCATGAGGCAATCAAGGTTCCCTGCCGGAGGGAAGTAGCTGACATGGCATCAAACACCTGTGGAACCCTTTAGGGAAGTTACCCTAAAATACACGAGAAGGGGAAAGCTAGCTAGTTGGGACCATTAGGGAAAGCAGGCTGATCAGCAGTGTGGAGGATACCAGGGTTCCCATTGGCTGGAGACAGGACACAACATGAAAAAAAAGGGAACTGTAAAAGGAAAAAACAGAAGTCAAAAGGATCCTGAAGCATTACAGAGCAGGCAAGTTCCCCTGTCTGAGCCTGTCTTGTGCTGGAGCAGGGACAGAGGTACCCTAAAAGGACCCTTCTCTGAACAATATGTTCTTGGCAGTGCTCCCCAATGCCCAGAGACAAGCAGGACTACAACCACAGAGCCATTGAGGTTTGTCTGCGGGGTATCTGGAACAGTGTGGCAGCCAGCAAAGCCCACAGCTGGGAAGGGAGGGGGAAGTACACAGCTCTGACCAGGGGGAGTTCGTCCTTCTAGCCAGGCAGCACAGCAAGAATCTTACCGAGCTCACAGCCAGTGCTGGGGATGGGGTGAGTAACTGTACCCTGACACAGGCCAGAGGCCACATCCCAGAGCCCTCTGCTCTGACCAACAGGAGGACCAGGGACCAAGGGATCAGCAGGACACACAGACAAACTATTGTCTAGAACCAACGTAAGAGAGCCAAGAGATACCTGGCTTGCAAAGTCCCCACCTCTCCAGGAAGTAGGGACACACAGCCCAGTATCCAACTGAACTTCCCATGGGAGGCAGCTCCATCAGACTCTCGGGTGCCCTGACTCTGCCCAGGCTTTACCTCCGAGTAGCCCTCGTACCCTGGGACAGTGGACAAGTACCCACCATCCTCAATGTCTTGGATCTGAGCCTCTTCCACCGTTACACAGTGGGGGAAGTGCATGCCTGTCTCGAAGTCAATGCCCATCTTCTCGGCCTGCCGGCGAGCCTGCCGGAGCACAGCGCCTC